ATATTAATGTTGCAGTTATCATGTATGCAACAGTAATACATATGTCGCTCGTACATTATCCTGACGCAAGCGCTTTGTTCATGATTACTTTCGTTCCATCTAGACGGCACGAATCTTTCAAAAACGTGATCAGGAACGTGAGAAGAAACTCCTTGTCTTAGTAGCAGCCGCCAGCACACTCGTCCACAGGATATTACATTTCAACAAAACCGTCAAGACCATGGAGCAGTAAAACATTCTCTTCGCGACCACCGGCTTTTCCAGATCGTCAGCCCCCGTCTTTTTCCACCTCTTCAATCATCATATCTCCTCAATCATTGGTATCTCCCGAACCACGTTTTCGTTTCGATGACAGGGCCCGTCTGACAGATGAGCAACAAAAGTCGGCTCAGGAGGCCAAGAAACGCCACAACTTAATTTGAAAAAGCCGAATCTCCGTTTTACAAGGAAAGCCAACCAATAACAAATTAAATGTCCGCTGTTGAGATTGTGCTGATTGGGAATCTAAGCTGTTGGACTGGAATTTACTTTGTGCGTAAACGAATGACAAAGTTTAATATGATGTTTTTTGAAAGTCAGCACACGAAGATACTGCTGCAGCAAAAATTGAGATTTGGTCTCTATTATCAACGAGGCATAGTCACAGGCAGGCACATCCAGAATGCGTAATCAAGGGTACACTCCCGAGTCGCGAGTTGAAAAAGTCAGCGGAACAAGGGGTCCGGCGAACAGTAGCAATACACAGCTCGGATTTGATTGACCGGAGAAGAAACATCTAGGCATAGGAAGTCTGAAGAAATTGATTCTCAGAATGAGATGGATTTTACAGAAGGGATATATATAGAAAAAGGATATTTCGTCCAATATCTATCCGTTTCGGTATGTGATACCCCCAAAGCTCTTTATCAATACTATAATTATCTTTTATTCGAGCTATCGATCTACACAGTTGACATCTCTTCATACGCTTTTGAAATTTTCGTGCTTCTCTTCATTATACTTTCCTTGGGCTACCCATTCTAATGCATAATGCATCACCTCCCTCATATTTAACGGTCTCCCACATTTCAAAAGTTGTACCCTCTCTTCTAATCCCATCCTGTCTAATTTTATCCTGTAGTCTACAAACAGAATTTTTCGAAGAAATCTCTTGTATTTCAGTTCTATGTGTCAGGGAATCTTGTTCAGGTGCATAGCGCATATGTAGCTATTCGCTTTCACACAGTTTTTTACGGGAAAATTCACGTGGACGGCCCGGACTCTGATTAAACGCTCGTGACCTAGAAACTACGAAACGAAGAGGTACGGTCAGCAGTGAAATAATGGGTACAGAAAATCGGACAGGAGGAATTCAGCATCAGCGGTGACAATTAATACAGACATTTTTCAAATATTCCGCTTACACTTAAAAGACTGAATTTAAATGAACACACCAGACAAAACGACTTGCCATGTCGTTGCGTATCTGAAATTTCTTGATCCGGGCTTCCAGGGAAATAGATAGGTGACGACATCGGTCATCGCAGCTGCACAGAAAAGACGACCAACTGGAAAACGATCGAATAAAGCCGCCATGAACTCGTACGCCGAATTGTGATGGAACAAATTTAATGGCGCGATTAGATGCCGGTGATTCGTAAGAGCGATCGCTCATTGAGCAAGGCTTGATAGTTTCATAGGTTCGCCCGGGGTATAGTTTGGTCGTGGCACATGCAAGTTATGCGCTACTTTTAACTGTGTAAGTAGAAAATAGGGCGCAATCACGTAATCCCAAACAATAAATTAGATATTGTTCCTTGTGCGCATTAGACATTCAACTAACTACTGCTCTGCATGTTTCACAATTCGTAGATCTACAATCTTTGCAGCAAAAAATTCATTGTCGAGTGCTTTCCATATGAAAGCGCTGATCAAAAGACGAGACAACAAGATATTGTAAGAAGATAATTCCAAGCAGGTCAAATGACAGGAGAGTGAATTTCCGCAAAGCCGTGTTTATGGTGAGTGGTCATGGGAGAAAAGTGGAAACGTGTGATAGTTAACTGAGTAAGGAATATTAATGGGATTGAATAAATTGAACAGGAACTCTAGTGGGTGGTATTGGAATAATAAACACAATACCAGACAAGAGAAACATGCAATCACGGTTAATGGCATCGGGCGTCCTGTCAGAAAGTCTGATGAATAGTTTGCTGAGACGCGCCGAGAGCAAAGCATGAAACAAATTAAATTCATCAGTATGCAGTCCGGCGCCAAATTGGCGTGGCTCCCACACCACCAGGCGGCAAGAATCTTTTTATCAGGGCTTATGCTGAATTTGGAGCTTGAAATGCCTCATGTAATTCAGCAAATTTCTATCTCAGAATCATTTTTGAGCAATCACATTTGCAACCTATCTCCAAGAAACGCATGGTAAGTGAATACGAGCTTTTCTAACTGGATAACATATTAGGCGGGAGAAGAAGTAACGGAAAATTATTTCGACCATCCAAATGAAACTTAACTTGGGTTATTTCGCTTCTTTAGAAAAAAGAAAACCGCTGGCTTACTCGACAATCGGCAATCAGTTTTTCGCTTATGTCCAATAAATAATAACGCGCACAAATAAAATATTACTAGCGATTGTTCTGGTAATATTAACGCGTTAAACCACCAAAGAATATTAAATTGCCAATTTTTACAAAGTCGCGCTTCTCCTTCGTGTCCTAAACCAAGCTTTGCCTCTATAAATTAACAATGGCAAGTTAATTCGCATTCTGGGTTTGCTCAAAAACTGCAATGTTGCCGCGTGTTTACACATTGTCCAGGATTTTGAAAATGTATACATAACTGGAGAACGGTTTATTTCCGATGAAAAACTTTCAACGCATAAAATTTTGTAATACAAAGATGGCCACATTTAACATTAGGTTTGCC